CATCGCAACCGAGTGGACGTTTCTTCTTCTTCTTATCCGACCAAATCAGCTAGTTTCTCTCATCTTTTCATCCCAATCGACTGGATGTTTATTCTCCTTCGATCTGACCAATTTAGTCAGACACTTTTTTTTTTTTAATTTTCTCTTTATGTAATTAATTACCCAGTTTTTTCTCAAAATTTTCCAATACAATCAATTCAAAAGGCCCAAACGTAGATTAAAACTGTCCGTAGGGTCAACTGTCCGATCGGGCAGTCCCCAAGAACCATGCGGCCGAATGAATCTAGCGTATCACTCGATCGGCACTGGGCCATACCATTCATCCTTCGTAGACTCAAACCCTTATATTATTTTTGGGCTTGACAATATGTATATATATGTATGTCATTCCTGTCATACCTAGGGATGACATACCGTACCGTACCAAAAATACCGGTCAATACCGATACCGTACCGAACTTTTTGGTATGACGAAAATACATACCGGTACTGTACCGAAAGTTTCAATATACCGAATTTCGGTATACCGAAATTTTTGGTACAGTACCGGTATATACCGTTTATACCGAAAATTTCAATTTCGGTACGATACCGGTATATATCGCTTATACCGAAAATTTTGATTTCGGTAGATACCGGTATATACCGATTATACCGAAAATATAATTTTAAATTTCAAAATAATTAAAAAAATTAATAAATATCACTAATCTCCACCATAAAAATATTATGAAAAAATCAATAAAATTTCAATAGTTTACATATTTTTTGTTATTATTTTAAAAAAATATTAATAATTATTATTTATATTAATAATTTAATTATTTAATAAAAATAATATCGGTACGATATCATACCGAAATACCGAACTTTCTGAAAATTCATACCGATACCGTACCGAAAACTTCGGTACCAAAATTTTCGGTATTTTCGACACGATACGGTATGATAAGTTGGTATTTCGGTATGTTCAGTAAATTTCTCCATCCCTAGTCATACCCTGCTTTGCTTTTAATGCAATTAATTGTACTATTACTAACGTTATTGTATTGGATTCCACGAAATCTTCTACAATATTCACCTAGCTATAATTACTTATTACCTAATTGCAATTATAACAATAAGACCTTAAAGTTCTCTAACATTGTATTACTTTGTAAAATTCCTATCCCACCTAATCCCTATATTAAGCATCCTCGTGGAACAATACTAACACGTTACCTATCACCTCAATTTTAAAAGATAACAACGAATAAACAAACGGACTAATCCCTTTAAAAATTATTTAATATAAACAAAAAAAATTTCCAATTTTTTTTTTTTTTACAGTCCATCCTTTGTCTATATTTATATTTCTTAGAACAAGCTTCCACTGAAGCTTATATATCTCATTTACTTTTCACTAAAAACACATTTGATTTATATAACTCGATTAAGGAATGAACGACCAAACACATCTTAAAATATATATCGTTTTTCAAAACAATTCCTTTGAATAAAGACATTAATCTAATTTATAATACTAAATGGATAATTACTTTACTAAATGATGTTTTAATTATTACACCAACTATCTTTGCTCAAATATTTGTCTCCTTCTTATGTGTCATAATTCATATACTAATATAATTTTGGTATCAAATAATCCTTTAAAAGTAATTAAGTTGTATAGAGTATAGGCTACAGTAACCAAGCAAGACATGTGCAACATACTATAAACATGAATTATAAGTTACAACTTATTCCTCATTAGTCAGCAATTTGTCCTCCTTCTTAAACCCAAATTCGATTCACACATTCATATGATTATGCTATTAGAGGGCATCGAAACCACTTTAAGTTGACGTGCATGCAAATAATACAACCGCATACACAACATGAGAACAAAACATACATACTATAATTTCAAGCTTGCACTCCATCAGTACAAAAGAGTGCAATACATAAACTAGAGACATGCTTAGGAGTTACAAGCAGATAACAAACATAATATTCATACCTATACTATTTTCCAGTTTACAAAAGGCAGCCTCGAAGAAAATACATCATAGGAGGCAGTGAAATTCCGGATATCAAATATGTAAGTCTAACACCCAACAGTAGAGTCACAAATGCATCAATAGTTGCATACTCAATTTGTTCATCTGTCAAAACTTCCGAATCCAAGTTGCTTAGAGTTACATGCATTGGCTTTTGTAACTCTTTTCCCAAAATAGCTAATACCATTGCCTTCAACCCCCTGTAAGCATATGCACCTGGATTAACATTTAAACAAGCTCTTTCGTGAAGCGTGTTAATATCTTCAAACCTATGAACAACAAGACCATGATGCCTATATAGCTTCCCAACGTCTGCTTGCACAGACACACTGATGTGAGTTGTTACAACAAAATTCACCCCAAAGTGTGTCTATGAACTGAAATTAAATTAATTTCAAGAGCAAGACCAATAGGACAAATATGTCATCCGAAAGGTCTAACTTAAGTACCTTTAATTTAGCAGCAATATTAGACATGTTCAAGATGTACTTCTTTATGTTACATTTTCCATTATACCTCATGGTAATGAAACTCTTAAGAAGAATACTGATTTCCGCCTTATCGTTTTTGGTAAAACGTTTCTTAATTTCGACAAGGAATTCATATAATCATGTATTGTACTCCTAAAAATTAATGGAGTGCTTTTCTTAATGATCATTAAATTATGGTGTTGGACCTATCCCACTTTTCAAACAATTGCTTTTCATCTACAGTGCTTTTCGTCGTATAAGTGGGTTGGTCTACTCTTAAAGCAAAGTTAAGATTTCTAAATGAATCAATATTGATTCTTTTCACTGTCTAAAGTTGTTTCCATGTAGTATTGAGACCGGAAAAATATACATATAAATGTTTATGAATCATAATGAATCTCAATAATAATGCATTCTCATCCCAAGACACTAAGTGCAACATCAATGATCAATTTTTGGATCAATAATATTGATTGCTAGCAGTCATCTTGTTGCAATAATCATATACGGATAATAAGTAATGTCAAACAGTAACCAATCTTTGAACTTATCAGGAATTTAACCCTAAGCCCATGATCTGTCGTGTTGAAATAATTGTGATAAAAAAAGCAAAATAAATCTAACTTTATTCCATCTACGTTGTCGGATTCATATATGCAAATTAACCGAGGGTTTTGTGTTCTTCAAACTTATGGCGCAACCCCTCCCAACCCCTCATCCTGAAAGAACCGCTAGAGTTTTTGTCATTACTTCCACGATAAGATATGAAAAGTAATGGATGTTACGTCTAAACCTGGGATCACAACCCTAATTTATATCCCTTATTATTAATTGGCCTCATCACCCAATTAGTACTTATCAGGAATTTAATCCTAAGCCCATGATCTGTCGTGTTGACATAATTGAGATAAAAATAAAGCAAAATAAATCTAACCTTATTCCATCTGCGTTGTCGGATTCACATCTGCAAATTAACCGAGGGTCTGTGTTCTTCAAACCTATGGCGTAACCCCTCATCCTGAAAGAACCGCTAGCGTTTCTTTCGTTACTTCCACAATGAGATATGAAAAGTAATGGATGTTACGTCTAGATTTGGAATCACAACCCTAATTTATATTCCTTATTATTAATTAGCCTCATCACCCAATTAATAAATTATCGAGCTTATGCACATAGGAGGTCCACAATTACTAAATACATTTAAACCCAATAAATTTAATAGATCACTTAATATAGACTTAACGTAACTAATAGCCCAAATAGTTCTATTTAACCCAAGATTGGAGTTTTAATCCAACCAAGCAAATTTCCTTAATTTCTTAAATTGCAAAGGAGATGTGACAATGACTAAATTGCAAAATTCATTCATTATTTAAAAGAAAACAATTAAATAAAAGGAAGATGATAATGTACTTGGTAATTATACTAAAATGTTTTAGAGAATTCCAAACTTACTTATCAAACTAACTACTATTACTACAGACAAGTTAAATTTAAAGATGACAATGACCATACACATTAACTCATCATTGACGTCGATCTTGATCTTTAGAGCAACCACAATGGTTCTCAGTTTAAAAGCGCCCAAAATCTAATTTGTCCAATCCAAATTTCATAAAATGTAAAAATATATTGCAACGGCTTTTTGTTTGATAGAAAGAGAATAGAAAGAGAAAAGGAAAGAGAAAGAGTGAAACGACGTGAGAGAGAAAACAATAGGAAGAGAGAGAAAAAATTGTGTCATAAAAAGTAGAGGAAGAGAAAAAAAATGGAGAGAGAGAAAGAAAGAAAAGAACGTATTATCGCACCACCAGACCATTCCCAAATATATATATATATATATTTTTAATTTTTTTTTTATTTTCTGTCCGAAAAAGAGCTATTGTATGACAATTTCTCTCAAAAAGCTTCATTTTCAACTTAAAAGTCTTCCACAATTAAGCCATTACATATGCTTTACATCTGATTTCGCTAAAATTACTGTTGGGTTACTATTTGAGGGATTTAGGCGCGAGACTACCGCGCAGGGACAATCTCTCGATCTAAGCACAGGGCGAAGATATTGGACTTTTTTTAAAAAAAATTATTTTTATTTATTAAAATTATAAATTCAAATTAAAATTTTTATAATAATTATAGTTTAATAAAATATATATAATATATATGTTATTTTGTTAAGAATAATTTTTTTATAATATAAATAAATAAAAATTTTAAAATATATATAAATATAATATAAGTTTATAATCAAATTATATAAATTAATACATATTTATATTATTATATTTATTACCCATCAAATTAATATATATCATAATCCTTTAAATCCAAACCAAACCTACACACAAAAGAAACACAAAAATTCAAACCTATCTTAAATTTCAAATAAAAATCAAATCCAAATTCAATTTTCTCTCCTAAAGAAACACACTCTGGTAATATATATATATATATATATATGCATTCCATTGATGTGCAGGGTAGGGTAGGGCTAGTAGTGGCCGTAGAACTTGTAGGTCTTGGCACGCTGTATAATCTTCCTCAGGCCTCCGATGGGCCCGCATATCATCAGCATCACCCCAAATGTTATGCACGCCCAGTTCACGAACCACGACAGGCTCAACCTTCTCGGCTTGCAGATCACAAGCCATATCACGCATGGAAGCTGTACGTACGTAGTATATCATATATCAAATATCGATCATCGATCATTTCAATTAAATTCAATTCTATCGGCAACTTAATTAACAATATCAATAGTTGCTTACAAAGTATGTGGTTGGTGCGAATGCAAACCCTCCGAAGAATGGCAGAAGCGCATCGAAGAATGGGAATGTCACAGCAACAAACAACGTAAATGCTGTTACTAGTAAACATGTAACACAATCAATATCGATAATGAAATATAATATACATGTTAACATAATTGAATTACGTACCGACGTAGGTATTCCTTGTCACAAAGCGCAGCCACCACGTCGGCCTGAACTTGAGTTTCTTCACAAGAACGCTCTCTATCATGTCGAAAACCGGCATCGCATATATCTGTGTGTACGTCATCACCTTGTTATAATAACCAACGATCATCGAAACAATAGCTAGCAAATGGACTAATCTTTTAAGTTTAAATTTTTAATTGAGATGATATAATTTAATATAGTATCAAAACCGGAACCTCCTTGTTCGAGTCTATGCCCATTCTTCATTGTATACGTCACAAATTTCCAAGGGCTGATCCACTGTACTACTGATTAATTTGATACTTATTTGGATTTTTCTTGTCATAGTAGTAATATGTGAAAAGAAAAATAAATAAATACTAGTAACTTTAATATTTTGAAAGGCGAATTAGCATAATTATATTATATAAATAAATATTTATACACAAAAAAAAATTAAATAAAATTAGGGTTTGGGTATATTTATACACAAAAAAAAATTAAATAAAATTAGGGTTTGGGGGATTGGTGCCCCTCAAAGTCCTTCTTAGATCCGTCACTATTCTAAAATTTGAACCAACATACACCCTAACATGTAAAGAAGATCTATGCCACATATGAATTTTATACGAGTGATAACAACATATATAAATACAAAATGTCATTTCCTGCTATAATACCATATTAAATGATCATCTTACTTAAATATTCTAACATATATACCTGGTAGCTTCCAATGAGATGCACAACGACAAACATGTTGGCCATGGCGATTAGCCATTTGGGCTTCTGCAGCGAGACAAGTACATCGGTGTCGACGGTGTTGCCGAAAGCCCAGAAGCCGAGCACGGCCACCGGGAAGTAACACAGGGCCACAACTACATAAGCAACAACCACACCTCTCCACATAGGCACTTTGGAAGGCTTGTCCGGCGTCGACGGCATTGTCGCCTGAATCTCCATCTCTACATTGTGGCCGCCGTATGCAAAAACAATCGACCCCATGGCGCTAAAGAACCCGAACACCCTGTCTGCCTTACTCCCTTCTTTATACCCATATTGCACCTCAGGCTGCACCCCCTTATCCACCGAAGCACCCCATGCAATCGTCGAGTAGCTGCCGTGGAGATGATCAAATTATCAACAACTTTTTCTATAATTGTTCGATGAATTGATGAATAGATTGATATACACACCTTATGGACATAACTGCAGCTGCTAAAGAGACACCGGAGATTGAATTGAAGGAGGGGAGCTGTGAGAGCACAAAGTGGACAGAGGAGAAGATCATGATGAAATAGGTGAGGCTGATCTTTTTGCAATCGGCGGTGCAGACGATGTCGTGGAATTTCTGGAGAGACTGACCTCCGGTGATGAGGTAAACTATGTTGACTCCGACCTCGACGATTAGCTGCTGAGGCACGACGATCCACAGGCCAAGTTTTTCGCCGAAAGCGTGCTGCCCGAGCTCATGGTACCTATCGAAGCGCTTGCCGGGCACCATCTCGTGCATCTCCACCATTTGCCACATGGAGTAGAGAGTCACAATCCAGGATATGAGCAATATGGCAATTCCAGGCCCCCTGAATGGATGGATGGGTCGATGAGAGAATGAATGAGAAATACCAAACAAAATGAATTGAATTGAATTAGGCAGGTTAAGGTACCATCCGAGCTCAGCCATGGCGTAAGGGAGGGTGAGGACTCCTGCCCCGACAATAGCAGTGACGTTGTGGAATGCTGAGTACCACCATTTTGCATTTCTTGAAGATGTTATTGGAAGCCAATCATCTATTGCTTTCTGCTCTTCAGACTTCTCTTCTACCTGTGTGTGTATGTATATATATATATATATTGTTAGAAAATTGTTTGCTGAATATAGTGTATGAATTCCAACTTCCAAGGTATTGTTCTTACAGTTCTATGGGAGTAGTTCTTGCCGTAGAGCGAAGCTTCAGCTTCCATACTTTTAAATTTCTAGGATCTGTAGATTGGTGTCAATGGAGGTTAGAGGAGATCATATCACATGTGACAATGATAAGAAGAAGAAGCTAGCTAGGTAGGGCGACAAAAATGGTTGACTTGAGTAGTGAGGAAATCATTAATCAATATGAGAATGAGAATATTATTTGTTGCCAACTAATTATTTACTTTATTATCATAGGACGACCAGATAATTATATTAATTGCTCATTGAAGCTTCGTTTCACATTAGTGATATTAAAAACAAACTGTCGAATGTATGTTTTAATTAAGCATGCCCGGCCTCGACTATATATTAAATTAGTTAATTTTTTTTTGGTGAGGGTTTCTTGCACGAAACCTAACCTATTCATTCTATTGGCCAAGGACTTTAACCATCAGCATTGTCAACTCAAATGTCTCTAGACGACATTAATTAATTAATTAATTAATATAATTAAGAATATTAATTGAAACACGGGAGGAATGACTTTGTGGTGTGGGATTGAACTTGTGATCGTGACATTATGAGTTCAAACTCTGAAACCTCCAAGTTCACCTGCTACATATGGTTCGTCTAGTGTAATTTGCCTTGTCGAGCCTAGTTTGTTCACACAAATTTTTTCCCCAAAACCTATCAAATCAAACACTTTCGAGCTGCGGCTGCACGGACCTGTGATGATGATCAACGCTTTGCCGGCAGGCCGGCACTATACTATGTAGTTATATATTTATTTGCTGTGTTGATGATCAACGCTTTGCCGGCAGGCAGGCACTATACTATGTATTTATATATTTATTTGCGAGTAGATAGATTATATACATAACATAAGGCTACAACTAATTACGATCAACCTAGTTTTAATTTTTTGAATCTAGCTCGCTACACAAGCCTTCTTAGGTCATTTCATTAATTAATTTTCCACATTAATTACAGAAGAGAATATACCAAAGAGTGTTGATAGAAGTAATCACGAAAATACAACGAGATCAGAGGGAGATCAGATAATGCAGCAGCACTGCTACATAGTGCATGCATAAGCAAAAGAATATAAAACACAGACACATCAACAGAAGCTAATTATATAAGAATGATAAATTAATTGAATATAAGAAGAGGTTGGAGTAATCATGTGTGAAAAGATTCTACCTAGCTAGCTGGATCAATATATATATATATATATATATAATTGCAGTGATGATGATGATGATGATGAGGTTGCAGGGTGTACAATTTATAGTTGACTTATTAGAGTGTAAGTTGAGCATATATGCTTTGATTTATGTGTTCCTGAGGCTGAGGCTGGAATTGATGATTCATTTCTTGAACGTCACAGTAGAGAGAGACTGGAAAGTAGGATATAATCTGTGAAGGCTGGAATGATTTTATTTATCTATTAACGAAAAGATTATATCATAGGTTTATATAATACGACAAGATCAGTAATATACAAAATAGTCTACAAAAGTAAATAATGACAAAAGTAATTTGCAGAAGACAATTAAGGAGCTAAACATATAAGATAGAAAATTAATTATTATGAATATTGCTAACACCCTCTACCTCTGAATATGGGAGCATTTTTCAGGCTAAACACCGCTGTGCTCGCGGCGGCGCTGGTGGCTGAAGCAGCAGCAGCAGTCAATACGCGCCACGTTGTCGGCGGTTGGAGTGCCGATTTGGACGTCGGTGCTTGGCTGTCCGGTCCGTTATTCAGAGTTGGCGATGAACTCTAGTTTGAACATTCGAGTGGAGACGAAATTGTCGTGGAGGTTAACGGCATGGAGGAATTCGAAAAGTGAGATACGGCGAACGTTTCAGGATGTACACCAACGACCACGTGTCACTCGAGAAGAAAGGCCTTAAGCTCTTCACCGGACGCCGATCGTTGCAGAAACGGCCTAAAGTTTCCGATGACGGTATTTTCACCGCGATGAATTTGAACCGCCGTGGCCTCATTTGCCATCGTTGTACGAACCGTCTGATATTCCTCCTCTTCATCACCCACTCGATCCTCCTCCCAAATCTCCACAACCTCCATGAGATAAGATTTGGACCAAAAAAGATGGCATAACCATATGTTGAACACCAAGTTTCAATGCAGCGTGCCCAGTCAGCAACCGAATATCCATGAATACTACACTGCCCTGGTGAGAAAGATACACCGAAACTAAGAGTTCTTTTAACATCCTTAAATACGTTTAACAACCTGAAAATGCTCAGGTGTAGGGCGTTGCTGAAATTGACTGGCAGTCATAGAATAAGTAAGGTCAGGGCGCGTGATTGTTAAATATTGAAGAACACCTACCAATGAGCGCTATAAAGTAGGATCATGAAATTCAGAACCAACAACTATGAAAGTTGCACTGAGACCAAAAAGAGTGGAGACTGGTTTGGAATCAAGCAAGTCGGCTCAGGTGAGAATATCACAAACATATTTTGACTGATTGAGGAAGAGACCGGAAGTGGTGTATGAAACTTCCAGGCCAAGAAAGTACCCCAAACACCCAAGGTTCTTAATTGAAAATTTAGTGCACAGGCATGGAAATAGAACAAAAACGACGACATTGTTGTTTCCTGTGACAACTATATCATCAACATATGCTAATAGATAGATAAGTACACACTGTCGATGTAGAATAAATAATAATGTGTCAATAGCACTGAAAAGAAAACTAAGAGTGCAGAGAAAACGTCAGAGGCAATGGTACCAGACCAGAGTAGCCTGACGAAGACCATAGAGAGCTTTCTTACGATGGCATACATGATTCGGATACAAGGGATCAATTAACCCTGGTGGTTGCTCCCTAAAGATAGGCTTAGATAAATAGCCATTGAGGAACGCGTTTTTGACATCAATGTAGGGGCCAAGAATGCATGACAATAAGGGATGAGATAATGCGATCCGTGGATGCCTTTACGAAAGGGAAAAAAGTATGAATGAAATCAAATGCAGAAAGTTGGCTGAAACCCCGAGCAACGAGGCGTGCCTTGTATCTATCAATAGAACTGTCTGCTAGGAATTTTGTGCGATGGACCCATTTCGAGCCAACCACATTGGAATTAGGCGGTCTAGGGGACAAGATCCCAAGTGTTATTTGCTCGCAAGGAATAATGAGGTTTGAATATACCTGACCGAGTCCCGTGTTCACATTGGGTAAGTGCAGACAGAAGGAGAAATATTAACCATGGTTGGTGGAGCCGAAGGTAGCAGCCGAATAGGAGAAAGATCAACTAGAGCCAATGGTGGAGAAAAAGGCTCGTGGTGCGCAGGCAATGGAGAAGCAAGCAAATTTGACAACTCAGGTGGGCTAATATGACACGACTGAGGTGGTGATACGGTGGTGGTAAGGGAACCAAGACAGATGTGCTCTCCAAAAATTCAAATATGGCTAGACGAGAGATATTTTTGGAAAAAACGGATTTTAAGAATGGAAACCAGAATTTATCGAATTTTGCATGGCGAGTGATGAAAACTTGAGTGGAGGTACGATCCAAACATCAAAAACCTTTATGGCTTGTGTTGTATCCGAAAAAATACATAAAAGACTCCGCGGTTCAAACTTAGTCTTGGCATAGTCCCGAAGACAAGGATAGACATAACAACTAAAAATATGAAAGAAGACCTAAAGAAAGGATGCCCATTAACAATCTTAAAGGGAGATCTATCACCAAGAATGATAGTGGGAAGATGATTAATAGTGTAAACGGCCGTACTAAAAGCTTCCACCCAGAAATGCAAGGGAACAGAAGAATGAAATAGCAAAGCAAGAGCAATCTCAGTTATATGCCGATGTTTACATTCAGCTCTGCCATTTTGAGAGTGAGTGTAGGGACAAGACATAAGGTGATGAATGCCACATCTTGCCAAGTGACATTGTAGGCGATGGTTCGTAAATTCTGTGCCGCCATCACTCTGAAACTATTAATCCGAAAAAAAATTTATTTTCAATGAAGGATTAAAAAATATAAAAACACGTCAACAAATTTAGACTGTGCGTAGTGAGTAGAACCAAGAGAACTTGGAATGATCATCCACAAAACATCATATAAAAAATCAGAAAGTGAAGTGATGGGTGCAGAACCTCTTAAATGACAATGGATCAAGTCCAAAAGTGTGGAAGCCCGACTATCGTTTGTAGGAATGGGTAACCGAGAACATTTAGCTAACTAGCACGAGTTGCATAATCCAGGTGTAGACAATAAAGAAGTAACATAAACCAACCCCAATTTAAGTAATTATCTAACGAAAAAATATGCCACATGGCTAAGACGAGAATGCCACAATTCTATGAAAGCATGCAAATTTTTATTATGAACTTTTCGCATAAAAGGTAGCAGCTTGTGAATCTAACCGATAAAGTCCACGATCATAGTTTCCTATCGTGAGAAGTTGTCTTGTATCCTGATTTTGAATTTGAAATGTTGAGTCAGTGAAAACCACTTGAACTAGACTATCTCGAGTTAGCTTGCTAACAGACAACAAATGTTTAGTGATGCCAGACACGACAAGAATATTATGCAAATTAAGATCGGAAGAAAGATATAAAGAGCCAATATGAAAAATTGGAAGACTTACACCGTTACCAAAAGTCACGGGATCAGTGTCTGAATAAGGAGAGGTGGTGTCAAGTTGGGTGAAATTAGAGGGATGATGTGAGCCGATGCCCCAATATCCAAATACCAGTCCGAAACAATCAGTGAAAAGAGAGAACATCCAACAGAGAAGGCTTCATCAAGGTTCACTGCAGAGGACGGCTTACAAAAGTGATCATATGATTGATCGAAGCACTTACGACAATCAAAAGCATCATGGCTAATTTCTTGACATTACCACCGTCTGAAGTTGCAACGACCCCGACCACCACAGTGCGTCTGCTACTACCCCAACTATTAGACGATCGGCCTCGTTTGCCATTATTGATGGTAGCAGTGTGCCTATGTCCTTTATTAATGACAAAGAATGATGTAGCCTGCAAGGATGATGAATCATCTATAGATCTCTGAAAAAGTTCATGGCTTTGTGCCCGAG